AATTTTCCAAAAGTCAATCTATTCACGTGTACTGCCATCCGGTAGCGGCCAAAGTCGACCCAACGTGGTGGAACGAATGAGATGCCTCGTCCAGATCGGCGACAGGGATGAGGCGGATGGTGAGGCTTTGAGCTAGGACCTGACGCTAATCCGAAAGCGCGCAGCTCCTTCTCTTCGAGCTCCACCGCTTAGCTCAATCCTTCCCTCCACCACCAACGGTGGCTTTCGTAGCCATGTCGTTCTTCCGGGGTCAACCCGATGTAGAGACGCGCTTATGTACGGCAGTCAACGTTGCGATACAAGCCGGAGATCCGCATCAATTGCAGTCGATTGTGCTGCTGGAGCCAGGCGAAGGCAATGTTTTCCCGCCAGACCATCAAGAGCTCATCCAGTCTTTGCAGCAGAATTATCCTGCAAACAACGAAGGTTCCGAGAAACGTCTCGAGGATCTTGTCAGGCGAGTTGTTACTGAGACTGCGGAGTCTGAGGATGAGGAGGGAAGACCTATACAGTCATGGGGCTCGCTAGTCACCTTCCTTGTTGGATGGATGACCTTTCTACGAGACATGGACGCCGAGAATCTTGTGTTGATATTTGAGCTGATGACAGACCTCCAGTCGTATGTTGATGGAAGAACCATCAAATTACTCCATGCTAACGCGACTCCAGACGAGCAAATAGCGCTTTGCAGCATCCTACTAAAGGCATTCTGATGCTTCCTACCATCATGTACTATGCAAAGGTATTCGCAAGGGTAGCGATTGGATTAGAGAAGAGACCGGACTTGACGATGCATCTCATTACCACCGACGCGGACGAGGATGGCCAAAGCGAGTCATTGCCAGAGAGAGCGGCGAACATCGTACGACAGGCCTTCATCATATGTCTCAACGACCGCAACACTGTACCCGGAGGTATCAAGGACGGTAAGCCTGACGGGAAGAAGGTTGGAATCTACAAGATGGCAAACATATGTTTGAAGACCCTCTTCCAGGCCGATAAGCTGGGGAGCTGCGAGACCATCTTCAACAACATATCGAACTCCTCACCACCATTACACATCTACCCGGCTGCGGAGCGCATCACCTTCCTTTACTACCTCGGGCGGTACCACTTCAGCAACACCAACTTCTACGGCGCTCAGCTCGTTCTGGAGCTAGCATACAGAGGTTGCCACGGGCAGTGTCCAAAGCAACGCCGCTTAATCGCAGTCTGCCTTGTCGCTGCCAACATAATCCTCGGCCGTTTCCCAAGCGAACTCATCTACAATGACCCTGCATGCGTAGGTTTCCGAGAAGTGTTCGAACCGCTTTGTCGTGCGATTCGGAAAGGAGACCTCGAGACATTCCGTCGGATAACGAACCTGGATCTTTCCCATCCAAGCGCGGAGTTTATGATCAAGTACCGTATTTTCTACCCAATCGGCAACTACTGCGAGCCCCTCGTATGGTGGTCACTTCTCCGCAAGGTGTTCATCCTTACCGGAAGCATAGGGGAAGCATCGAAATCGGCTGCTTTGCTCGACCTCAACGCAGCTGTCCATGTATTCCGCTTCCTAGAGGCGCGCTCGCTCATCAGAAACGCCGCAATGGCCGCGCAAGACCGTGGCCCCGGCCGTCGCAACTTTGGTCACATCTACCAAGACCATGCATCAACAACCAAATCAACATACATCGACCCGGACTTTATCGGCATGGAAGGAGTGCAGCCGTATACCCACGAGTATGACATGCTGGAGTTGGAATGCATATGCGGTAGTCTCATCACCCAAGGCTATCTGAATGCGTATATTGCTCAGGCGAAGCAGAAGCTGGCCATCCAAGGTGTGAAGACGGGTAACCTGAGTGCTGGATTCATCAACCCTTGGGAAGTCAACAAGGAGAGGAACAAGGACGAGGTGCTTGGATGGAAGAAAGAAGCTGGAGGCGATGGAGGACAGGTTGTCAGGCTGTCTTCCGCGGCACCGGCTGGCATGTAGAGAAGGTCGCGCATGATACCCTGATACTGAGATTGAATAGGAATATATGCCAGTAAGACTCCATACGTTACTTGCGCTAATATTTCGGATGAGAGTCCAGCCAAGAAGTCCCCAACGCCGATGTTCTTGCAGTACCTGCAAAGCACGAACCCATTCCAACGGCCGTACCGTCAGCACCGTTATTGCCCAACCATCGCCAAAGCGTCAGCACACAACGATGACGGTATTGTTTCGAACCCTCTTGTATTGTACTCTTTTCCCTCGTCGTGGTCTCGGATGATCTACAGTAGAATCGCTGTCATCTGTGTGCTATCAGCACCGCATCGACAAAGTGTACCGCGCATACTCACTGTAGGAATGCTTCCGCGACAGTTTCACGCCTCGGCGTCTAGCGAGCCAAGCCTTGAAAAGGAAACCAACGCAAGGGACCAGTACGACGATTAAAACGCCGAGCAATCCAAAGAGCGCTTCCTTGGACCATTCAGTGTTGATGATGGAATCATCTCGTGTAGATGCGACGGAAGGGACGACTGCGTGTGATTAAGACCATGCAGGCTGGTGTATTCGCCGAGCGACCTACTTGTTGGAGCTTTTGCCGACATTTGCACTGATCATGTGTCGAATTGTCACCGAAGGACTCTAGACTGGACGCCAACAAAACTGGCTGCTGGTAGGGGTGAAGTGGAATTCGAAGGCCAAGACGTCGATTGCTATTGAGGGTGAAGACTGAGGAAGTGATTGGGAGCTTGGAAGGCTGAACAGACAGTAGAAGGAAAGGAGAATGCGACCACGTTCAGTTCTTCACCAGATCCCCATCTCAGAGGTGCGATTTCCCAAAGCGGAAGAGATCAACTTATGTGTACGCAGGGATTAATGTTCGCTAAAGAGGCGCAGCGATGCCACGTTGCAAGCGAAACAACACAAAATTGCTAGGAGCGGTACATGATCGCGATGTTCTCCAACTTGCGCGCCGTCTGGGGCAGTGAATAAAACTGACTTCGAAGTGTAGCAAATGCGATTATATATGTTAAAACTTGCAGTCCTTCCACATACGACCATAGGATCATGAAAATTAGGCTTCCCGTCCGCTCAGCCATATACAAGCATGATACCGGCGGATTAGTAGTTAGGTGGGTGACCACTAGCGAATCCCCGCTGTTGTATGTTTTTGGCCTTCTTTTTGCCCACTCGAGCGCTTCTTTTTTGCCCACGCCGTATACATACATACCAGTCACTGTCACAGGCAAGGTTGCATACTCTTTTTTGTTGTGCGGAGTCAGTGTATGGCCGTCCGCGTCCTTGAAGCTGCGATCGAACGCCACCGGGGATGGCGTAGTCCTCTTCTATCCATCATCAGCCACCCCTTCCTTCAGATCCCCAGGCTGCAAAGCAAAGCCTAATATGGAACAAAGCACGATTGAGGATGAGAAGCAAGATGCCATTCAATGGTCCAAACCGATCCCCGTCGAGCAGTTCAACGACCCCGCTTTCATGAATAGAAACGCCGACGATGAGGAGCCAAGTTTTGGGGGCAACGGCACTTTGGAGATTCTACAGGTTATACAATTACTGGAGAGAGCTGGCATTACCTGCTGTATAGTTGGCATATCCGCTCTGATCTACTACGGCGCCGCGAGGGGACGCAGGGTAAGCTCGAAATGACGATCCGTTGTCCGCATTGTTTCAATCGTTGCATTGCTGACCGAAACTATTAGGACTGGGAGGTATGCGTGCCTACAGAGAAGCTCAAAGATGCGTCCGCACTTCTGAACTCAGTAGACACCTACGAAACTTATCCACCTCGCCCACCGGGTATGCAATCATTACTCCACACTTTCCCACGATTCAAAATCGTACGCAAAGCTATGTGCTTCACCCTGATCCCCTCGGACGACGCGCATATCCACTGCATATCTGCCAACATCGAGCGTAGCCAAATGGATCTACCTTACCCGACACTAGAGGTGTTCGCACAGAGTCTTCTCGACACCAACGATATGGTCGCACTCACGGATCTCATAGATGGCATGAATCTGACTGAACAATGGGGTTTAGATCATCTGAAACTTCAAGGCGAGAATGATTTAGCGTGGGTATTGCGAAAGAATGAGAAGATCCGAGCTTCAGTTCCACTCACCTTCACCTCGTGTCTCCGGGAACTTCCAATTAAACCCATCAACCTGAAAGAGACTTGGGTTGAGATTGTCCGAACCAAAGAGCGTCGTATTGGGGAGGAATTGGCAGGGGCGGACTTGGCCACGCGGTTCCGTGGTCGGGCATCCCCGGATCCGAGGACCAGAGAGAGGTGCGACGCGTAAAGTGATAACAATTCCTTTGCTGCTAAGATTGGTGTTTTAGATTCGGAGAAGCACTGGGCAGGCTGAGGCCCTTCAACAAACGACGACGATGGTATTGCCTTGACTTCTTTTGAACCTCCACTGGTTTCTTAACGATAGTCCCTTGGTAGCCGCATTAAGATGTCTGGTATCTATGCCACTTCTTCTTAGTCGTACTCGAAGTCGACGTCACTGAGCAACAAACCTGTGAAAAGGTATCCGTTCAGGCATAGGCTTCACACGCTTATGTATGCATAGCTTTAGTATAAGCCCAAAGAAAGGGAAGACTACCATGACGACTATGCCGAGTAAAGCGAAAATTGCTTCTTTCAACCATTGCGGGTCTTGTGCGGTCGGTATATCGAGACTCGTTAGGGGCGAATTTTGCGGTGCTAGACGATGCGAAGCGTGTAAAGGTCATATACTTACAGTATCGTTCGAAAGAGCTTCACAGACCTCATTAGCTTCTGAAAACTAAAACCCGCGACCCGGCAGTGGGCGAACCGCTAGTACTTGAACCCCGGGTGCCCGGGTAGCAATAAGATTGGATCGAATTCAGGCTTGCGGCACCGTAACCGCGCGATGAAGGCTGGAAGAGTATGTTTGTCGGGCCAAAGAACCGAAGAAGATTAACTCTACAAGGTCCATTTCGTATGATCTATCTTACACCACCGCTTGTTGTCCGTCTATTGCCCGACGTTGGTGAAGCGCAGGTATTTCTTGACCTCCCTGACATCACCAAACTTCTTCCTGGCATCCTCAGTGCTAACGCTGGGTGGTACGATGACGTCTTGGCCCTTCTGCCAGTCAATAGGTGTAGCAATGCCCTTCTTGTCTCCTGTCTGCAAGCTGTCGATGACTCTCAGAACCTCGGCGGTGTTCCTGCCGGTGCTCGCGGGGTATGACATGGTAAGGCGGATCTTCTTCGCTGGGTCGATGATGAAAACCGAACGGATCGTGAAGGCAATGCCGCCGTTCTTCTGGAGCGCATCGAGGTCGTCTTGCGAGATCATATCGTAGAGGAAAGCGACGTGGCGGTCGGCATCGGCGATGATGGGGAACTGCACGGTGGTGTTGGAGGTTTCGTTGATGTCGGCAATCCACTGGTCGTGAGAGCTCAGGTCGTTGGCGCTCTATAACAGTGTCAGTAGGCTGATCTTGATTTGACAATGAGCCGATAGACGCGTACCAGGCCAATCATCTGGACGCCACGCGCATCGAATTCATCCTTGAGCTTCGCAAAGGCTCCAAGCTCAGTCGTACAGACGGGTGTAAAGTCGGCAGGGTGGCTGAAGAGGATAGTCCACTTGTTGTCCAAGAACTTGTGGAAGTCCTATTTGAAGTCAGCATGCGTTGCGCAGTATTGATCAGGCATGCTCACCATGTCACCATGGGTGGTCTTCGCCTGGAAGTTAGGCGCTGCGCGTAATCAGTATCATTCATCTCAGAGAGTCTCCAAAAACTACATACCAATGGATCCCAGCCTCAGTCGTGGCTGCTCAGCTGGAAGCGCGATTCCGCGACGGAGCAGCGGGGCAGCAGGACGCTGTACCCTCAGGGCCGGACGCGCCGAAGCGCGAAGAGCTCGAGAAGCTGCACGAGGGAAGAATGAAGCCATTGTGAGGTTTGCAGAATACAACCAGGTATCCGAGATGTGTTCTGGAGCTTTGGAAGATGGCTCGCGGCGGCAACGTCGATTAGTAAAACGGGGAGTTTCCGACATGGCGTCATGTCGAATCAAAAAGCCCCGCCGGTCCGAAATCGGCCATCTCTACCTCTTCCTGCAGTAATAGTTCCATCACCGCTGAAGCATTCTGTCGGGCATCCATCGCAAGCATCTGGAGTTGTTCGAATTGATGCTGCGCGCGGACAGCAGCAACGACCCTGCCACGCGTGTGCCACGCGACGGTATCCAACATGACGTCAGCGTCCGTGCATTAGCACCAGCGAAGCTACCGACCATATTCCACACCTTTCCATCTACTTTCCAATCCTTGATGGTTATGTCCAACTCATCCTCTGAAGCCAGCATGATTGGGAACAGTGAAACCCTTCGACAAACGCGCGGGAACCCTGTCGCCCTCTCCATCTTCCTTCTCCAGCTCACCACACCACCATGTGCTGGACGTATTCGAATTCTATACCGGCCTTTCCCAAGGCCTCGGAATATCTTACTCATGTCGAAAGAATCGACCAAAGAGATTCCAGGTTTCAAAGTGACTAACTCATTCATCTTGGCTCGCAGGTCGGTTTTCGCATGCCGCAATTGGCAGATGCTGGTCTGTTGCCTGTGCATCATTTCACCAGTCGCCGCATTGATGATAAAGAGACTTGATGTGGGCGGTTAGTTCAGTTCTGACTGATCAATGACCCTGCGGCCACCGTCGAGGGTATCGGTTTCTGGGGCCGAAGGACCCCATGGGACGAGGAACTTCTGCTGGCCCCGTGACTGTACGGTCACAGTTTCGGAGCCACTATTGACGACGGTAACTTCCAATGATGTATCGTTGACGAGACGCATCCTTGTCTCTAGTCGCGGTGGGAAGTTTCGCTTCCTCGCCATCTCCGTCGCTGTCGGCAAAATCCTCACGGTCGCTGTATGTCCATTCGTTGACGCCAAGGTCGCGACTTGCGAGCTTTATCTTGTATGTATTTTCTGGCTTCAAGACTAACGCTAAAACGCCCCGGAAATCAATAGCACACAGGTAGACCGTGATATCATGTCTCCAGCTCTTTGTCCGATGAGCCCGGGACGGAACTGAAATGCAACCTCGATTGCTCGCATCAACCTCTCCAAGTAAGCTTACATCCACTTCAACCCATTGCGTATCTTCCCCGGGGCGTTCTTCATACAGGGTTAGCAGGCCACGCGCTATGGCATAAGGCACATCGAAGGCTGAACCGACCGTGTCAATAAATATTGATCGAGGATCTGTATCAGACTTTTGTAACCGACAAAGACCAAACACCACACTGAATGGTAGCTTCCCTGATGCGTCGGTGACGTTGTAGCGGCTGTGGAGCTGAACGTGAATCGGGAATTTGGTCATTGCGGTTCGTACGTGAGAAGAGCAGAAGAGCCTGCGGATACACTGGGATGTGAGAGTGAAGGGCGTTCTTGAGGATGATTCATCTTGCAGGTTTTATTCGCGTTCCTATAGGCCTTGAGCATAAGCACGAGATAAACACTCGTTGTTGCCTGCCGTCGCAGACATGCCACGCGAATGCCCCACTCCGGATCTCGAACATGACGTCATCCCGCGTTGTCAAAGCCCGAGCTCCTCACATGAAACTTGGTCGCGTGTGGCTGGGGAGCAGGATCACGCGCCATGCCGTGGAGAAACAAGAAAGAAAAGCCGTTGGAGGCCCAGCCCCGCGAAGACGTTGTGCTCACCCTCAATCCGTCCACGGCAGCGCTTGCCTAGCTACACTCGCTTCCACATCGCCCGATATGTCCATAACGTCCTTCGATAACAAGCCCGGAACAGGCGGCTTCCTCAAATTCAACTCCGGTCCGCCGCGCATATATCTCACATGCGCTCTGCCAGCACCAGAGAAAGCGCTGCTATCCTGGCGCGAAGAAGGCTACGACGCGCAATACCTGCCGTACGATCCCAACCCGCAAAACCAAACAGCCTACATCCGCTCCCTCAAAGAACTATCCATAAATTTGAACCTGGGCGAGAACTACGCGATTATAGCCTATGGCGACGCAGCAAGCGTCGTCTTGAAAACAGCGCAGAAACCGTTGGCGAAATGCTGCGCCATCATAGCGTTCTACCCAAGCTTGTTACCGAGCCCAAAGACCATGTACCCGAATTCGCATCAGTTGCAAGTCCACGTAGCGGGACTCAGCCAGTCTAGCCCAAGACCAGATATGTGCGAGTGGAAGCTGTATCGGTACGAGAAGTGTGCCACAGGTTTTGCGGACCCATCATCGCGAGCGTATTCGGAGGTAGAAGCGAACCTGGCATGGACAAGAGCGCTAGCATGTATACGAAAAGGATTTGGAAAGAACGTGGACCTTGAACCTATTGCGCTGAGCCACTGGAACGCGAGGTTTGAGGACGACGACCCAGATCGCGCCAGTATGAGTGTGGTGAAAAATATGACGCAGGATAGTCCGCATGTTACGATCTTACCGACTATGCAGGGAGGCGTGGGGAGGAAGAAGCTCGCGGAGTTTTACGGAGAGTTCTTCGTGCCTAGTTTGGTGGAGGACTTTTCCATACGGTTGGTCTCGAGGACTATGGGTGTTAATCGTATAGTGGACGAAATGATCGTGTCTTTTACGCATTCGGACGAGGTTGACTGGGTGCTGCCAGGTGTACCGCCGACGAACAAGCGAGTGGAGATACCCATGGTCAGTATTGTGGCAGTAAGGGGAGACAAGCTGGTTTCGGAGCATATGTACTGGGATCAAGCCTCCGTTCTTGTGCAGGTCGGCTTGCTGGATCCTAGGATGGTTCCGAAGAAGTTGAAGAATGATGGATTGAAGGCGATGCCTGTCGTAGGGGCGGAGGCAGCGAAACAGCTTGTGGAGCCGCAACAAAACCGATATAACAAGCTGTTACAGATGCACGGTCTCATGGATGGGTTGAATGGTAACTAGAGATTGTCGCATCCTAATTTCAGCGCGGTGTTCCGGAGTAGTGCTTGAGAAAATTGCTCCATCGACCTGGGAGCTTTGCTGTAGTCGCTTGATCAAAATTTCAACGTAGCTTGCCATCGTAGTCCACCTTGTAATAGTTCTTGGGATTTAGCTATTCTTAACCGATGAAACTGCATGTTGGAAGTTTGTACTCATTGAGTACCCAGTACTTCCGCCTCACACCCTCCCATTCACCCTTCTCATCTAGATTTGGTACAGGAACCGTTTCCCATTCCGTATCAAACCCAGCCTCAAAGAGATCAAATTCAACAATCTTGTTGTAAACATCATAGACAATCTGGCGATCTGCTCCCATGCCGTTGAAGAAGCCAAACTTGCCTCCTTCGCCGTCGGAACCACCAGCAGGATCAAGAAGCCCAATGACATGTTCGGTGAAGAACTCGCGTAGTGCTTTGTATTCCTCGGCGAAGGTATCGAAGTAGATCGCGTCGAATAGCTCGCCCTTTTCGATAAGACCTGGTACAATATCCTGCCAGCGGCCTTCGTGGATGACGACTCCCGGCTTCTCGTGCCATCCTTGCTCTTTCATGCGCTTGATGACATCTGGGTGTGCCTCGATGATGTGATGAGCCTTTGGCTTCTTCTCTTGCAGAATACCGTCGATGATACCCATTCCATGACCGACGTTCAGAACGCGAAGCCCTTCTGTCGGCACCAGTAGTTCCGCAGATCTGCGCATAAGTGTTGTCTCCCACTCCATCATGACTCCATTCGAGGAATCGTCCAGTAATCGGTCGCGGTCGAATGTGAGCTTGGAGGAGAGATAGTTTGGGTTCTCGGTTGATTCATCGCCTTGCGCTTCTTCCTGGCTGATGTCCACTACCTCAACGCCCTCAGCCACCTCTTCGACCTCATCTTCCTCCTCGTCTTCGTCCTCTTCCTCTGAATCATCGTCTCCGAGAAGCTGGTATTGCTCCATGCGACTCAACAGCATTTCTGCGCGCACGCCTGCGTCGACACAGAGCTCGTATAGCTCCTTGAGGCCCAATCGATGCGCGATGCATCCCGGCGTCTCGCCATTGGAATCCAAGTCGTTCCATATCGCACCGTTCTCGAAAAGAAACTTGATGGTCTTTACAGCGCTGTCCATTTCGTTCTTCGATTCGTCCGTCCCATCTGCTGCTTCCCCATTTGTGTTTCCGTTGACTTGTTTCGCATCGTCTTCGTCGGGCTCACAGGCAGCGATCGCGGCGTGCAGAGGCGTAAAACCAGTCTCGGAATCTTGAACGTTTGCGGAAGAGTTGCGCAGGAGGTTGCGGAGGGAGGCGGTGTCGTGGTTCGCAGCGGCGAGCAATATGCTCTGCGTCTGGAGATCGGTCTGCGTATCGAATTCCGGGTCGTCCATGATTATTTCAGTAGTGTCGGTGTTGCGCTCGCAAAGTTATTGGAGGGGCAGTTGAGGGGCCTGGAAATTTATTGAGACGCGAGTCATGCAGGCTCCAGCTGGTGGATGTCGCAGTGTCAGTGTGGTGTGATCTGCTCTCCTCAAGGCCAAAGCAACACTGAATTGCATGAATACACCAAAATAGTCTTGCACCATGCATTCCGGCTCAGATACCTCTCTATCATGTATTGAGCTATTCAGTCCCAGCAAATGGCCCTACGTCATCCTCTACAACTCATCAATAACACTAGAATCCAACATCTTCTCCAACTCCTCCCTCGGCGTGATTGTCCTGTTATCCTGCTTCGCTAGATACCCATCCTCTTCCACCAAAAAGTCGATCATCCCATCATCCCATCGTCCACTCCAGTTATGATGCTTCCAAACAGCCTCCACAACTTCCACCTCCGCATCCACAGTTTTAGCCACATACTCATACACGTTCTTCTCCTTCGGCGAATTCGTGAATACGTCCCGTGTTTTGTCAAGCGCCCTCACAAACTCCACAATGTCCTTGCGCTTCGAGGGGTTGCCGAGAGCCTCCGTAGTAGAGAAAAGCGCATAGACTTCCCTGTAGATTGATGCGTTTTGGAAGATAATCGCATCATCTCCCAAAGCCCTAGCGCCAAGCTCAACAGAAGTTTCCCAAATACCGTACGCATCCAGACTGCCGTTGTTGAGGAGGTACGGAAGAGTATCGTTTGCACACGGCGTCTTCATACACCACCACGCATTAACCCCTTCGTACTCATGATCCTGCACACCAACACTACTCATCATATTGTGCACGAACACTTCCGCACTCGAACCCAGAAAGCTGCCAATCTTCTTGCCCTTCAGATCTTCAAGTTTGTTGATACCCTTCCTTCTATCGGCGACGAGGCGGTACGAAACCTCGCAGATGACGTAGATGAGGCGGATATTACGGTGATCGACATATTGTCTGATACTTGGTGTTTCGGCGTTGGCGCTGAGGTCGACGCTTTGGTTGGAAAGGATGTCGGGGACACCACCTGATATGAGAATTGCAGGCGTACTGCCGTTGTAGAAGTTCTCGATGGCGTAGGGCTGAGGCGTCCGCTCTATCCAAAGGGGGTAGGATGCGATTGTAAGTCCGACAACACAGTGAAGCTGGATGATAACAACCGCGAGTAGAAGGAACGACAACATCATGCGTCGTGTGAGCGATGAGCTATCTGATTGTGTCAATGAAAGGCAAACTTCGAAACTCGAGCTTATATGTGTCTACTTGCGTCCCGGTTGCTGCGAGAACTCTGTTACGCCGGGTCAATACGAAGTCTTGGAATTCTGCATGCAATTACAGCATCCCGATCGATGACGTCGAAGCAGGGATCAGTGCATTGAAGTGGTTACCCATATAGGATTATTGCAGGGTACATCGCCCCATCTTGGCATTCTACACATAGGCTGTCAAATTGGGGCGTAAACGAGACGCACGATACTCAAAGCGACGCGGAACAGTTTTGAAGATCTGCTGCATACCAAGGTTAGACTGTCAGAAATAAGCCTGTCTCTAGGATGCAGTTTAGCAGATACAGCAAGAACGTACAATGAGATAGAAAACACGTCAGAGAAGACAAAAAAGACACAAAAGCTTCCCATGTCTAATTGGGTCGCTGATGAGATAGAATTCGCATTTGGCTTTCGCCATGCCTACCTACCGTAACGCCGGGGTACCAACACAGTCGGATCGAGTGTACATGTATTCGTTGTACAACAACCCTAGTGTGACTGTATCCAGCCAAGCATTTGACCGAAAGCCTGCGCTTGTGACTGCTTGATCTTGGCATCCTCATAATCTCCATAGACAGCAAACCCATGAGGTACGCCCTCGAAGATCTGAATCTCATGCTCGACTTTGTTCGTTTCCATGGCTCTGCGACCAGGTGTCAATTCATCTTCTTCTGAGAACATTGGGTCATCTTTGACAGCGGCAATGTAGACTGGGGATTTGACAGCTTCGAGGTCCTCCTTGTAGGTCATGGTTGGGTGCGCAACAGCGCCAGCCCTGAGAACGGGCTCTTTCTTGACCGTGCCTTGTTCTACATCTTTCTGGGTTTCTTGGCCCCAGGCAACCGTGTCAGGCAGCTCAGACGCCAACATCAGAATGTACTTGGCGCCAAAACAGTAGCCGATGCCATATATGCCTCCACCGTTGGCGATAGCATCGGCGTACTCTTCCTTTGCACTTTCCACAACCTTGTGAAGTAGCGGAAGAACCTTCTCGGGAGTGTGACGGGCGAGCCACATGTCAATCACGAATTTCTTGCTGACCGATGCGGCGCCTAGCTTGAACGATTCCAGCCATGATGCTTCCTTGGGTGTCTCTGTCATATCAACAGTATTCGGAGCTGGGTCGTTGTCGAACTGATCGGGCATGACGACGAGGTAGCCTTCCGAAGCGTACTTGTCAGCCTGCAGCTGGTTGTTTGTAGACTTGACGCCAGTGCCGCCTGTGAGCATAAGCAGGAGTTTCGAGGGCGAGTGTGGGTAATCGGCCGGTTTCGCGATGTAGCATTCGACGCCGCCTAGCTTTGTGAGGTCGCCGGTAGGTTTCTCGCCGGAAGGTGTTGGACGATCTGTCGTGCAGTGTTCCTGGATAATCAGTATATGGAAGTAAGAGCTGGGGTACTAGATGCAGGTATCCACAACACACTCAAGGTGTCTTGAGCAACAGATATTCGGGCATGCATATGCAGCTTCCCATGACAATGACTTGACTTACACCCATGCTTGGCCCTTCTTGCGCTCTGGTGTCTCCGGGGAAGACGCTCTCCGCTGCTGCCTCTTGGGGTTGTTCTTGAGGCTTCTCCTGCGCATCACTCTCGGGTGCGCGCGTAGCAATGTCGTTGTCCGCCATGGTGTCTGTAAATTGTGTAGTTTCGAGTCGATATACGCGAAAGCTGGTATGAGTGAGCTGCAGCGGGCTATGAAGGGTCCAAGCCAATTACGTAGCCCCGCACAGCCCCAGAGCCACTTGGACGCGTGGATGCGGTTAGAGCGGGGCCACTGAGTCACGTGTCGAGACGCGTCGACGCGCTTTCTCATCTTCGACGTGTGCCCGCCACCGACACACGCCATCTCAACACCACGCGAACGCACACATCACAGTCACCATGGCAGAGGGAGCAATTACGCAAGGCGCTATTCAGTGAGTAATGACATGATGAATTCTATGTCGCATTCTGACACTGCCTAGGAGCATCTTCCAGCCCAGCGGCTGCTTCGTAGAAAACCCCGTCCTGCAATGCGTGCAGATCAAGACGATGGAGCCCAAGGCGGGCGAGGCGAACCCAGTGCAGCGGTTCCGCGTCGTCTTGAGCGACATTCGCAACTTCATCCAGACTATGATCGCGACAAGTAAGTCAAGCGCAGGCACCACTCCGACATAACTAATCGCGTGCAGCCGCCAACGACATTGTCACTTCTGGTCAGCTTAAGAAAGGCTCGATAGTTCGCCTCCTCAAGTACAACCCTCAGCGCGTCAAGGATAAAAAGTACGTAGGTCTACACCTTAGAAGAGTTCTGCGCTGACAATCGCCAGCATCCTGATCATCATGGAACTGGAGGTCCTGTCGCAATACGGCGAGCTCGACAAGATCGGACAACCCGAGGCTCTCGACACCAAGGCCGCTGAGGCACAACCCGCAGCTATCTCAGGCAACAACTTCTACGGATCGAAGCCGGCGCCTGCCCCTCAACAACAGCGGTCCCTCCCTACTCACCAGAGCAATCCCGGTGCTTCCTCGCATCCCAACCTCTACCCTATCGAGTCTCTTTCGCCATATGCACACAAGTGGACTATCCGCGCGCGATGCACCGCCAAGAGTGATATGAAGGAATGGCACAACCAGAAGGGAGCGGGCAAGCTGTTCAGCGTAAACCTGCTCGATGACACTGGCGAGATCCGAGCCACGGCTTTTACCGAAATCGCTGATAAGCTTTACCCCGTCTTCGAGGTGGGCACCGTATACTACATCTCAGCACCCTGCCGAGTCACGCTTGCCAAGAAGCAATTCTCCAACCTGCCCAACGACTACGAACTGCAATTCGAACGCGACACCGAAGTTGAAAAGGCGGAAGACCAGGAGAACAAACCACAGATACGATTCAATTTCACCAAGATTGGTGACCTGAACACCATCGAGAAGGACGCAACGGTCGATACTATCGGTGTTTTGAAGGAGGTCGCAGAGGTTACTACGATAACATCGAAGAACACCAACAAGGACTACAGCAAGCGAGAGTTGACACTAGCCGATGACAGCCAGACGTCTGTCAGACTTACCATCTGGGGCAAAGCTGCCGAGAGCTTCGAAGCGCCGCTGGAATCAATCATTGCATTTAAGGGAGCCAAGGTCTCCGACTTTGGCGGACGAAGCCTGAGTCTGCTGAGCTCCGGCACCATGATGGTAGATCCAGACATCGATGAGGCTCACAAGCTGCAAGGATGGTTCAATGCTGCTGGACAGACTGCGACATTCTCTACACACCAGAACTTGACCTCGGCTTCAGGCGGATCCAAGAACGAAATCAAGCCCATCTCGGCAGTCATCGAGGAGGAAGCTTACCTCCAAGACACACCCACATGGCTAAGCCTCCGAGCATCTGTCTTGTACGTCAAGAATACTACCATTGCATACCCTGCGTGCTCGAACCCCAGTTGCAACAAGAAGGTCATTGAGGAGAACCCCGGTGCCTGGTGGTGCGAGAAGTGCCAGGCTACCTTCCCTGAACCTCAATACCGCTATGTGCTTAGCGTCAACGTTGGCGATCACACTGGCACGCTGTGGCTGAGCTGTTTCGACGAAGCTGGACAAGACATTGTTGGCATGTCGGCAAACGATGCCATGAAGATCAAGATGGATGACGATGAGAACAACACGCAGAACTTCATGAATGTCATGCAAGAGGCTACATGCAAGACGTTCAACTTCAGGGTGCGGGCAAAGATGGAGACATACCAGGACCAGCCAAAGTAAGTTCACTGCATGTCATGTTTTGATATCTGCTAACATTTTCCAGGCCGCGATACCAGGTTCAGAACTTGCACAAGCTCAACTACGCCGCGGAGGCCAACAAGCTGGCTCAGCTCATCAAGCAGTACAATATCGACGACGGCACCTTGTTCGTAAACTGAAGTAGGCCATGTCTCTTCCCAGCAGCTGCATCACGTGCGGTAGTATTTAGCAATGTACATGAGAGCTTCAAATGATGGATGTTAGATAGATGCACACGACGGTACGCGCGGACAAGCGCACAAACGAAGCAAGTTGTACCATACCATGACAGGTGTTTGTTGCCGCGGCCTATGTTGTCCGACCCCACCATAGCTCAAGCTCAATGACTAGCTGCCCCTCAAACGTCATTACCAATCATTTCCGTAGCTACCGGAAAGGCCTCGGAACAGACTACCACTTTCTTATGGATTTCTGACCTTTCTGACTTTCTGATGTTCTGACACTCTCTAATCAACCTTCTGTGACCATAAAGCGCAATTTGCCCGTATTCCAATCGACTGGTAATCAATTCCAACGACCAACAAAATCAACCTTCACAATGAGCGGCACAATGCGCGCAGTAGGTTTGTACAAATACTAGCATACTTACACACTCCAAACCTGCTAACTTTGCGAAGACATCAAAGATGGCAAAGGCCCAATCGAGAACCTCCACATCACCGATATCCCCAAGCCGAAGCTCGGAAAGTCGCAAGCGCTCGTCAAGATCAAGGCTTTTGGTCTGAACCGCATGGATCTATTGCAACGTGAAGGAATGTACCCAGTACCCCCTGGTGCTTCCAAGATCCTTGGTGTAGAGTTCTCGGGTACAATCGCAGAGTTGAGTGCAGAGGGTGGAGGCAAGGAGGGCTTCAAAGAGGGAGACGAGGTCTTTGGCCTAGCATACGGAGGAGCGTACGCTGAGTACATTGCTGTGTCAACACACATGCTGGTACGGAAACCAAAGGAGTTGACTTGGGAACAATGCGCGGGTATTCCTGAGGTAAGTTCAACGCCTGCTCGTAGCGTCCAGCGCACCGTAAATTATCGTTTTGCTAACAAAGTCCTTGTAGACCTGGATCACAGCAACCCAAGCCATGTATCTCGTCGGTCAATTCGCTGCCGGCAAAACCATCCTCTGGCACGCCGCCGCCTCTTCAGTCTCGATCGCCGGTATCCAACTCTCCCTCTCCGACAACGCTTCCGCAGTCTACGCAACCGCCCGTCAAGACGCCAAATGCGACTTCGCCGTCAAAGAACTCGGTGCAACCGCTGCATTCAACACAACATCACAAAACTGGGCTGAAGAGGTCGTGAAGGCAACAGATGGCAAGGGCGTAGACATCATCGTCGATTTCATTGGTGCATCCTACTTCCAAGCAAACCTTGATGCTATTGCCAAAGATGGTGTGATTGTCAACCTGGGCTTCATGGGTGGAACCAAGGTGCCAGAGGGTACGGATATTAGCGCGTTTATCAGGAAGAGGTGTACGTTTGTGGGAAGCAGTCTACGATCGAGAGATGAGGAGTACCAGGGCAAGCTCAGGGATCAGCTTGCGGAGCATGCGTTGCCTAAGATGAAGGATGGCAGTTTCAAGCTGTTTGTGGAGAAGGTGCTGCCGTGGGAGAAGGTGCAGGATGCGCATAGGCTGTTGGAGGAGAATAAGACTAAGGGCAAGGTTATTTGCACGATCGACCAAACATGGGGATGATTTAGAAGGGTACCGCTGGGTAGTATATCGCTGTAGACAAGATAATTACCAATATTCAACAAGATACAAGAACTGAAACCACGTCTTTAGTGTATATTGCCTGTTTGAAGTTCCTTGAAGGCAGGCTTGCTGCAGACGAGATGTTCGAAGTTACTAAGCCCAAGCCCGGCTCAACGTCCCCGCACTTGCCGCCATTTTACCCGTTAAACCTCCAGTCCCACAGACATGTCCCACCCTTTATGCAAGTACGAGCCGACCGATCAAGCTGTCATCTACTAAATCTGCATAAAACTTATGCTCTAGCTGTGTAATGCTAGGATCTCAATGCCAATATCATGAGATTGCCAAATTCAATTTTCTTCATCAAATGTTAACCAATTGATCGGGCGCTTTGGCGTGAGTTTCACCCTTTGAATCTATCGTCAACGCTTACTAATCAAAATTCAAGGGAGTGGTTAACGCGCTGGCCTGCTAGTCTTCGGAAAGCCAGCCAGTTCCTTCGGGAGCGTGTGTTCGAATCACACAGGCGTCGATTTTCAGGCGTTGTGGCGGGTAAGCTTCCGTGCCATGAACATTTCTATTCTTTAAACTAAAAATTTCTCCAGAGTGGTTATCGCGCAAGACTAGAAATCTTGTTCCTTCGGGAGCGTCAGTTCGAATCTGGCCAACGTCGTCTTTTTGCTCCAGGAGTGGCCTAGGCGTGGTGATGATGATGGTGGCACGTGGTATAGGTGTCAGGAGAGTTGGCGTCTTTTTTGCTCAGAGAGGCATGTGAGTGTATTATGACAATGTGTAGTCTTCTTCCTTCAGCTAGGGATGTCATCACGACGAAAAGCGAGAAGCTAGGAGGTATGAAATTACCCTGTGCGATCGAGAATAGAATTGGAATATGGGGTTAACACTTAAACTTGAGATGATCGTGACTGACTTGACAAAGAATGCACGGAGTTTACGTCGTATGTTCGTTTGTTCATCAGCCTCTTCCAGCGAATGCCAAGCCACAACATGTTGACACAGAGTAGCGCTGGTTCGAGGTGGAGACTGCCAGGACAGAAATTCACACGTGGACGCGTTTCAGATTAGCGACGTGGTCCGTGCCATATAAGCTGTCCGCGAACAGCCCTGCTTGAGTCACGACATGACATACCTGCACCACAATGGATCGGTCCCGTGCGCTCGACGCGTACATACAGGCGCTCTCATCAGAGTGGCACACAGCAGTGCTACGATTCCTCGACATGCAACGACCTTTCCCCGTTCCTGTCGAACACCCTCGTCGCAAGATGTTACATGACGCAAGGCAACAGTTGCAGTGCGGCGCGATGATCAGGGACGACGTTATCATGGACTATCTACGGGTACTCCATGGTCTCGATAAGCATATGGAAGCCCGAGCCATATATATGGACACGCATGCTCCCACAAAGATCCTCCAAACAGATGGCAAGTATCGAACACGCAAGCTTCATGCGCTCAAGCATATATCGGGCTCCGAACTGACCGGCAACATCTTTTGGATCATTCACCATCAAGCATGTCCCCACTGGAGCCTGGTACATATCAATATTGCGCAAAAGGCTGTCGTTGCGTACGACACGTTCCCTAGCCTCAACGGGTCGTTCACTACGACAGCCGCCGACACATTATTTTCCTACTGGAAGAACAATTATTTGAAAGACACCAGCGGATGGTCAGTTCAGAAATCGAACTGGAAAGACTACGACTGTATTCAGGCTAAGAGATCGAATGACTGTGGTATACTTTGCCTACTTCTTATAAGAAAATTGCAGGGCAATGGCTGCTTGCCAAAGCTACCTGAAGAAGAAAAAGAACGGGAAGGGCTCATGGAGAAAGTGGGCGAGCGAATGCGACTTCGTATTGCGGCCGAATTGATCGCGGACCTGCCCAATCCCCAGAATGGCCAAATCCCCGACTGGCTGAAGAGCAGCCTTTGATCACCAGGACCCATTGCACTGTCCGCGGACAGCCTTTGCCGCCTCGAAACTCAATTCAGAACTTTGACTTTGCTTCCTCATGAAAAGCCGTCATCCGCTGGTAGAAGTCGTCTTTTCTCATCTCGAGCTGACGAGCTGACCGCCCGATACTCTCCAAGAGCTCCGGATTTGGCGGTCCATCCTGCTTCACTTGGGCGTACAGAGCCTTCGCGTCTTTCGCACTTTTGACCAGCCTGGTCAGATGATTACCCAAGGACTTTGAAGCAAGCTCGAAGCCGAGCATCCGGGTGTCTGGGTTCCGCAAAGAACCGATCGCCGATAACAATCGCTTGGAGTCTGCTGGTGTATGGACATCTATCTGTTTTCTCGCCCATTTGATGAAAGCAATCAAATCAGTTGGAGCGGTCTCGAATTCAGTGGGCGGTACTGCAGTCGTTTGATTTAAGGGTACTGGCGCTTCGGTAGCTGGCAGAAGATCGTATACGAAATCTTCCAGGCGATACATTTCTGGATGGGTGGACGTGCGGAATCGATCGGGAAGGGCATCAGTGAACTCCTTTTCAGAAAGAGTCACCCCTGCTTGGCTCACCCCTCCTCTCATGAGGTACTCGCTCCACAGCTTCTTGGCGGCTATTTGGTGTTCTCCTTTGGTGGCGGCGTCTGCTTCCTTTGCTCGTTTCGGGGTCGGACCCGCATCATTGCCAGGAGGGTTCTTTCTCTTCAACTCCGTTGTAGTCTTTGTCCGCGGACGGACCGGTGCGATATTACCAGCGTGGTCCCCAACTGTACCTTCTTGGTAGAGAGGTTCGAAAGTCAAGCTGTTATTGGCAAATCTCGCGTCTGGTAGAGGCGCTCTTGCCCACATCGCCGCCTGGGCGTCTTCCACGCTCATCGCTTGGGTGCTCTCGTCGAGGTTAGCGACTTCTTGATCGAAGTCCATAATTGTTGGTGTATTTGAGAGGAACAGGCACGAGGCCAGGTCGTCAGTAAGTATTGCAGTCGAAGCCTCGCGTATTGAGGCATACCAGTATTAGCGAGGCCACCTTTACCTGCCATCTTCTCTCACCCTGACGGGTATAGTCACGTGCTTGGAGGCCGACTTGCATGTGTTCTGCATCCCCATGGGCTTATACATGAGAATATCATATCATACTAGTACCTAATGTGGTATCTTCAGTGACGTACATTGAAAGAGGGCTGATGCGAAGAGTATGTCTCTATTAACGTGAGATGGGTCGTGATATCGTAACTTCATCTAGGGGTATACTACATAGGAGGCTGTCCGTGGACAGATACGGCTGCTGTTAACTATTATGTCGTATCGAAACAGTAGCTAGGGAAAAACATTGAGATACTTTTAGAAACACGGGATTTGATACAGTAAAATAAACAGGTCTAATCGCTCGAAAGATTGCTCGCATAACTTTTTATACATGAAACAGCGCTGGAGTAGATGATGTAGATGAAAAGAGAATGAGGAAAGACGGCATAGCAAGTGCTCTGCCGGCGTAGCAATTAAATAGGTAAATGGTAGAAAGATAGAAGAGTAGAGAGGACATCGTACGTTCGTGAGGTCGTAAATCTTAGGTATCGTGTAGTCGTGACGTGGCATGATCGATGCTGTGTTCATGCTGGTTCGAAAAAGTTGGTCGTTACACCAGTCGGCACCACGGGCGATCTCTTTGGGCCCCGTTTCGCCTTCTTGAGTACGCGTTCCGGGTCGCCGTTCCGCCCGATCAGGCGACCGTTGTTTGCCTGACGACCTTGTTCTTTCCAGTCCTGGCAAGCCTTCCAGGCCGTCAGTAAGTTCTTAACGCCGTCATCTACCGCCGTGTCCGCGGACAGCCCAACGAGAAGGTCGCGGGACTCGAAGAACCCATAATAGAAGCCAGAATCATGCTGGGGGAAGTAGGCTATGTCCATGCCATACACCAATTCAGTCTCGCGGATAATAAGCGTGAAAGATGGAGAGCGCTCGAGCCATGGCAGGATAAGATCTGCCTTGCATGCGAACCCATCCAAGCCGATGGACAGGAGAAAAGGCTTCATCCCGCGGGCGACGAAATTCTCCAGGCTCTTGTCAATTGTTCTGGTGAACTTGTATGCACGAGAGAAGTACGCCCTCAAACGAGGGTCGGTCGTCGTGTGCGCTTGGGTAAATATGCCCGTCGGAGAGACTGACGTGTGGACGTCATATAGTGCAAAAAGTGTTCCCGGGACATCCAGGTCGCTGCCATGGTCGTCAACCAACGTATCGAAGACCTTTTTGCTGAGTATACGTATGCCTTTTCCAATGTCTTCCTCTCCACACTTCCATGCTTTTGGTGCGCTACTGGAAGCCCTTGCCGCGGCGACCACGCCCCTCCCATTTCCAGTCTTCGATTGGGGTAGGAATTCAGCCCGGTGAATGCCGTCGAAACGCGCGTACTTTGAACTCTCCTCGCCCTTACACCTGATCTCGTGGGAAGCTAACAGGTACAGGTCGCACCAAAGCTTTGGGCATTTGCTGCATTTATACAGCCCCCTCTGGTCGATTACATGCATGCCGGCATGCGTCCCGTATGCTTTGAGGTCCATGGATACCTCCATACACCCTGGCCACGGACAATCTCTGGCTGTGACCGTGCCGTTGCTGCAACTCCCTGAGTGGACGTTTGAAGTCGCGTAGCTACTGAACAATGACCCACAACCCTTTCGACACGGGATCCTTTCTGTACCATCCTGTAGTGCTGGGTTATCGTCAAATGGAACAATGATCCTGCCGGGGTGTTTCTGGCGGCAATGCCTCGCGAGTGCGCTGATATCCTTGAAAGTGTCTGATTTACAGGTCTCACCCTGCGCCTTGAAGGGACAAACGAGGGAGTAGGGTGGGTTTGGCGCAAATGGAACCATCGAGCAACTGCCAGAGCTGTCCGTGGACAACCCCTGCTCCTTTACAGTGCTTGATTCTGAGTGGGTTGACGGCGACATCCCTACTGCCGGTGGTATTGAGCTGTCCGCGGACAGGGCTGGCAACGACATTCCTACCGCTGGTGGTTCTCGAGACGTGGAAATATCCATTTCGGTGCCAAAAGGTGGTGTAGTAGATTCTCGGTTCGCTGACTGTGCGGTTGCAGCAGCCTTCCGTTCGGTTGTGATCGGTGAGCTACTTGACGTCGTAGCTTGTTTGGGCTTGAAGAAGCTTCGTATGTCGCAGCTGTTTCCCGCCATCGAGGCTGATCTTTTTGGCGGCATCTCGACTCACTTGCGAGGTGTCACGGTGCGAGCGATGGAGAGTCGGGGCTCGTTCAGGACGGGGTGAAAGAGACTTATCGGCCGACGCGTCGTGACTTTGGCCAGGCGGCGCGTCACGCACGCGAACTGCGCTTCACCGCCCACGTGGAAACGCATCGAACTGCGCAGAACGACTAGCTCAGTGCTAGGAAGGCGAACCTCCATCATTCGAAGCGGTGCAGAACAGCGAGAATCACTCATCAACATACCTGCGCTTTCGCACTGTTCTCGACGGTACACTTCACTACACACACGTGAAATGCGAAAAGATACATCAGGATATAGTAAGCATGGATACATTCTGCTTTACCCTGACCCTCACATGGGATTTGGGGTATCTTGAAGCCTGCCATACCTACACTTCTTTCACTGAGCGAGAACACTCCCTTGATCCCAGCCACGCTTCTGTCCGCGGACGATAGCCAACCTACTCTTACGCTACTCTCGCCTTGCCCTTCGCCTTGGTGATGGCATCCTCCTTGGCTGATTGCACATCTTTGTCGTCGCGGCCCCGCACACGATCCCGGACTATGCCAAATGCGCCCTTTGCGATCTCCTCTGTTGTCATATTCTCCCGGTTCTCGAGGCTCTCGCTTGCAGAGTGCAGCTCACCAAAAGCGGCAAACATGGAGTTCGCTTTCTTGATCATCCCCGCCTCATGCAGCTCCTGGTAGGTTCCTTCGGTGAACAAGCGCACGATTTCGACCTCGTGGTCTTGACCTATCCGGTAGACCCTCGTGCCTGCCTGGTGCTCTGTAGCCCAATTGAAGGCCGGCTCGACGTGATGTACGGTTGCACATCGGTGCTGCGCGTCGTGGCCCGCGATGTTCAGCGCATAAGTGGTGATGAGGACTTGTGGGAAGTCCTTCTCGTCGAAGGCTCGGATGTTTTTGTGACGCTCGTCCGGGGACATGTTGGTGTCCAGGAGGACCGCACGGATTCCAAGAAACTCCACAAGTTTCAGGAACATCTCGGCCGACCTTGGGAATTGGAATGTGGCCAGGATTTTGCGGTGACTGGCTACCTTGGTTCTACCCAAGATTACCCGCTGCATTTCCCAGACCATAAAGCGCATTTTGGGGGAGCCCCATAAAAATTGACGCAAGACTTCCTCGTCTGAATCGAGCGGACGGTCCTTGTCTTCCGGGTTCAAGGCGCCCGCCTGCTTCATCCTAGCAGTCAGTAGAGGGAGACCCTCCCATCGCTGCGCACGGATCGAGGTGGTCGACAACCTCTCAAGGCCAGAGAAGCCGATGTGAGTGCAGAGGACGGAAAGCTTGGCGAATTTGGAGCCAACGTTGACGCTAAGCTTGGTCTTATCATCTTTGGCATCCTTCTTGATTGCAAGCTTGGCCACAGCAGCTGCCTCCAGGCTCTGAGCGAACTGACGCTCGCATTCTTCCTCTCGCTCCTGGTACGCAGCAAGCTCGTCCGCGGCCAGCCTCAGCTCCTGAGTGAAGATGGTGATTGGAGGTAGATTCCCGGCAACGCTGACCTGGTCCCCATTCTCATCTCTGACCTGGCTGAACAGGTTTCTTGATAGAACTAACATGGCAAGGATCTTGTGGACGCGTGTGGCGACGATTTTGACATCCACCTCATCCATGATGGCTTTCTTGACATGTCTTCCAATGTAGTGACGGAAGGCTGCTGTTGAACAGCACTTCAAGCTATCAAGATTGTCCGGATGGTAATTGTCGTATGGGTTCTCTGGGAAAGGTGCTGGTATGTCTACCAGTACTGAACGGCCATCCACCTTCTGCCGGGATTTACGGTCGAGACTTGACGGTCGATCGCGGCTGTACTTCAACAGGGCGGGCCAGTGTGTACAGTTCCAACCACCCTCGATCATGGCATTGATAGCTTGGTCGTCTAGACCATCGACTGACTCACAATCGCTCTCCCATTGGTCGTCCGCGGACGAAGACGCTCGCTTGGACTTTGACGCTCGCTTGGATTTCGACGCTCGCTTGGATGTCGACGTTTGCTCGGATTCATTGTTCAAGCTTGCCCTGAACTTGGCGTAACGCGACCGCCTGATCTCCAGGCTGTGTTTCTCGTTGAGATCAGATACATGACTCCAGAAAGGGAACTCCAAAAAGGCTAAATAGCCATCGAGGTCGTAGATAGTGTCGATTACCGGCGATCCAGTGAACACAGCTTTGTATGTGGCGTTGAAGGACTTCAGGATGGCGCCCTGCCTGGTCTGGTCACATCTCCGGATGCATTGTCCTTCATCCAGGATGATGCGCAAGAAGAGTCCGTCACGCTCTGCACTCTCTTTCTCCCCATCTTTCAGGTTCTGTAGCTGCGAGTATGTACATATGACGACCGTGTGACCGGCCCGGGCTGACTTGTATACAGGGTGTTTGGGGTCAAACAAAAGTCGCTCTTTACGAGCGCCAGCTGGTAATCCATACTTGTATACGTCCCACTGAACACCCAGTTGATCTTTCATATCAAGGAAGGTTTTTTCGAGCAGTGTCCGGGGACAGACGATTAGGGTTGGTTGAGTTGGAGCTTGATCCCGTATGGTCCAGAAGATGGTGGCGCCTTCGATGTGTGCGATGATCTCATGAGTCTTACCGGTACCGCAGCCGTCACAATTAAGAAATGCCTTGTATAGATACTCCATGAGGATTGACCAATGAAGGCCGCAGACCTGATGAGGTTTATGGACGTCTCCTGGCCGCTGCTCACCTGGATGTAATGGGTCCTCACTCCTCCTTGGCGGAAGGCGCTCGATGATCTCGGCGCCCGCTCCGAGCTGCCCTCTCAGGACTGTCTTTGACCGAGCAACGTCCTCGAACTGGGGCTTCGATGTAGTCAACCATGATTGTACTACATCGTAGGCCATCGGTACCACGTCAGCGAACCTGTCTTCCTCATCGTCGAAAGGGTTTGTGGCCTCGAAATTGAGGTCTGAAGCGGTCGCCTTTGTTGCTGGTGTCTTGTTGACGGCCACGTGTTGAAGGCTATTGCCCAGGACTGATTCGATGAGGCGGGAGGCACCTTCGGGCGTGCGTTTTGGTGACAGGAGGTACGCGTTTGGCTTCCTGGAGCTGTCCACGGACAGGTCCGAGCGCTCGTGGCCGTTGTAATAGAGATCCCGAAAGTCGTTGTGGTCCATCCAGGCGGCTCGGACTCCTTGGACTAGCTGGGAGGTACAGAGAATGTTGACGATGTTGCTCTTGGGTGAGTTGTTGCGGGCTGTACGGATATGCGAATTCCAGTTTTCTTCCGTAGTGGCAGCAACCATATCGTCTTCGTCTGCGGGGTCTAGCTGGACGTTGACCCCAACGAGCTTCCGTTTCTTGTCTGGAAGTTCGAAAGCTTTGATAGCCCATGTCTTGAACACGGCGAGAGTGCAATCGTTTTTTCGTGTGTGGGCTGTGTCATCTTCGAACCCGTCACCATATATGGTAACCCGTAGGGTACTGTCCGCGGCCAGAACGCTCGGAGGGTTGGCTCGAACAGGCAGCTGAGCCTCCTCATCACCTCCGTTTTCCTGCCCAGCTTGACCTTGTCCTGACGCCGACGACGAGGCCACGGTATTGCTAGGACCAGGGGTAGCAGAAGTACTAGCGTTGCTCTGTGGAGGTTGCTCTGACTTGGAAGATGAAGCCGCGGCTTTACCGGGGGTGAGAGCGGCAGGGGTACCAGCCTTCGTGGTGGGGTTGGTATGGACCGGTAGAGGCTTCGTTGAGACGGGGATTTTTGTCGCGCTACTGGAGGAAGGCTTCACGATGTATTTGCCCTCGATGTACTTGATCGCGCTCCATTCGGTGTCTGTCGGAGATGTCAGTATCTACACCATGCTCGTGGGCGCGTTCACTTACCTTTGACAAACTTGGATCTTACAGCTTCCGCCTTTGCGATCTTTGCCTTGCTGAATGCACGGCCTTCGCCCATGTTCTTGATGAGAAATTTGATGAAGTCAAAACACCCACCGTTCCAGTCTTCTGATGTCGTCATTTCATTCTTGCAACCCTCAGTCGTCTGCAGATGGCCGCGGACAATGAGCGCTGTGTGTGCCCATACCGTCGTGGATGTCAACTGGTCACTGTTGATGAAAATCTCCGGTGCTTGCTTGATGACACCCAGATCTTCGCTCATGGATGTGACAACGGTAGCGCGTGTGTGACCGCCGATATTCTTGTTTCCTGCAATGCGCTGCCAGTCGAGGAATACCGGTAGAGTCGGCAGGACGGTGTCGGCGACCCAAGCCTTGAGATTGGGTACTGTTAGTCCGGTAGTAGTGGCCCACGACTCCAAGGTGACGTTGAACTCCTTTTCACCGGAATCGTTGATTTTGAAGGGCCCGGTAAACGAGCTGCGATTAGCCATCGCGAGAATCCGGGTCAGCCGTGCGTGAGGGACGTGAACGTGTTTGGCGACGGAGGCTGGCAGGTATAGAGGGAGGGCAAGTGATGAGAGGGGAGCACAGAGGTGGTGGGAAGTGTAGAAGTGGTGGGGTCGTGGAAGTGGTGGACTGAGCCTATGTAATTCACAGGCGCGGTGACCGACGAAGAGCGCGACTGCGTTTGGGTGCGAGAATCGGCAGCCAAACACTAATGCCTGATGGTGGGTAGAGACCTGGATCGATGGTGACGCTCGCGTGAACAGACCATGCGGTGAAAAGGCCTCGATCGGCCTGCATACAAGCCAACCACCCCCACGTGCGCCGAAAATGACATCGGAACAAACGCGGGTCAGGACCCGTGAATGAACCGCCCGTTCTTCGGCAGGACAACCCGCCCAGCCTGTCCACGGACATTGAATGGTACCCAGCGATTGCCATCGCCAGCTACTGGTTCTCATCTTTGGGCGCGAACTACGTTTTACTCGCGTTTACAACTGCATCTAGACGTCCTCTAGATATCCGAGGCGGTCAAAAGTAGAGCCCAAGGACCAGTGAGACCGAACCAGCTCTTCTTCCCCGGGGATGATCATGAGCAGGCTGCAATCGCTCTCAACAATGCACAAGCGTAGCGTAATGAATGAGGGAGATATGAGCCACGGGGCAACTATGATGACCAACAAGCAACTTGGCGAATCAAACGTTGGATGTCCTTTGACTTCTTCAACATGGGCTAATTCCAACTTCCAAATAAACAGCGAGGCATGTCTGGGATTACGAAGAAAGGATGACGTGACGAGGCTTTTCGCTAAGGCCTGCCAAACCAGATTAACATGTTGAAGAAGAGACTACCTAAATACATGCTAAAAAGATGTGATACTGAATAACTCTGCAGAGCAAGAAACGCGTGATAGTGGATTGAAACAACGAGCGGTATGTCTTTTTCTAACCTCGGCCTTTCGAAACAATAGATAACAAATATAAGCTGTACAAAGCACACTTCCAGTTCGTGGAGTCAAATAATCTCTCGCGCTCGTTGCGATATGTCCGAGCACCTATGCAGTGTCATAGATGGATGGGAAGAATGCAAAGAAGACTCTACAGTGTTACTAGCTCACCACCGACGATCCGTCTACCCGGCCACACGCAGCGCAACCCCATCCCACTTTTCACTCACCTGGCCAAGCCCTTCGGTCCCGCCCACTCGCCCTTAACATGATACTTCCCATAAACCCACGGAAAGAAGTCCTTCTTCAGCCAGTAAAACGCCTTCCGCGGCACCCCTTGGTCAATTCCCAACAGCCCATTGAACGTCTCCTTCGGCACGCCCCCATACATAAACTCCGCAAGCAACACCTCCTTCCTCCCCGTCAGCAACGGACAAGACGTGTACCCATCGTAACTAGCCGTCGGCTCCTTGCCCTCCATCGCTGAGAGTACGTTAGACACCAACACCGGTGCTTCAGCCGTGATGGCAGCCACGGTTTTCGATGTCGGCAAAGAGGACGCGTCGCCTATGGACCAGACGTTGGGGTAAGAAGTGTGTTGCGTTGTCGAATCCGAGACGGAAACGTAGCCTGCTTCGTTTGCGAGAGCGCTAGATTTGATGAATCCCCAAGGCACGTTCTTGGGCGCGACGTGCAGGAAGTCGAAGTGTTTCTTCACTGGGGTGGGCGAGTTGGGGGATGTGAAGGTTGCGGTGTTGCCCTCGATGGAAGTGAGGTCGTGTTGGAAAAGACCTTCTACGCCGCGTTCTACGCGGAGCTTTTCGAGAGTTGCCGCGCTGGTGGGGGTTAGCACGTTTTTGCCTGGTAGAGGGGACGACTTACTATTTCGGCACACCAAACATCGTCGGCAGCCCCGTCGCGAACGCAACATTGACATCCTTCGGATACAGCCCAGCATCCTTCCAGTAATCCAACGCAAGCCACATGATCTTCTGCGGCGCGCCCGCACACTTGACCACGCCAGCTGGCTGCGTAAACACCGCATCACCCTCTTTGAACTTCTTCACATTCTCATACGCCTTATCGCAGTACGCGTAGTCGTAGATCGTGCTCACCATCGCATCTTTCTCCTCCAACGCCTCCTTCAACCCACTAACACTACCGTAGTCGAGCGTGATACCAGGCACAACAACCAGCTGTTCGTACCCGATCTTCTCCCCGTTACTCGTGGTTACGTAGTTTTGTTCTGGCGCAAAACTTCCTACAGCGCTGTTGTAGAATTTGAAGCGTGGGTCCATGAGCTCTTTCAACGGGCGGCGCAGGTCTTCTTTCTTCTTCAAACCGCCGCCTACGAGCGTCCAGCCTGGTTGGTAGTGGTGCCATTGCGCGGGGTCGATGATGGCGATGTCGTCTTGGGAAAAGTTTCCTTTGCGCAGGAGTTGGTGAGAGAGAGATATGCCGGCTGAGCCGCCGCCGATTACGACGATTTTGTGGTTGCGGGTTGGTGTTTGTACTGGTGCCACAGTGGCCAGATTCCGTGTGGTGTGTTGAAATGCTGGTCGCGTGATCTTGACCGCCAGTTGCGCTGCGCGGTTCCGGGTCAGTGCGGACATGATGGCTGCTTTTGGCGACTGTCCGCAAGAGCTAGAAAGGGAAAAGGAAAAGTGCAATGTAAAGACAGACAAGAAGGCTTACAGCGAGGTATGCGGTGCTTCCGGTCTCCGACTAAACATTTCATGCCATGTGGGTCAGCGGCTAGCATTTCAGGAACAACCAATGAATGAGGTGGAGATGGGTACTAGCGTGATCACGACATCGTCGTGAGAGTAAGTCAGCGGTCACAAACAAACACCAAAACGCGACAAGACACAACTATAATTGTACACAACATAACATTAACTCATTTTGATCATGAAAACTATATAACAGACATCCTATCCCAGCGACTTTTTACAAGCGCGACAATCCAGCAATCTCCCTTGGGGCGTGGTAGTTGGGGACCTTCATGTCGAGGGCGCTGCCGCTGTAGCCCAAGTCCTCACCCGTAAGCACGGCGCACTTCTCGCCAATGAGGAGCGCAGTCGAGTACGTGTTGCAACCGACGTTGTCGGGGCAGATGGACAAGTCGGCGACCTTGAGGCCCTTGACGCCGTGGACGTTGAGGCGCTCGTCGAGCACACCGTGCTTGACGATGGAGTTGCCGTTCCTGGGTGCCATGGAACAGGTACCAAGCGAGTGCCAGGTGGTCTCAACGTGGCCTGTAGTGTGTTAGTGTAAAATTCAGTTGATGAGAAGGGGGAAACATACGCTTGGTCCAGTCCTCAATGTGCTTGATGTCCTCGGTAGTGTACTGTAGGTCCTCCTGGATGTCCTGGCAGCTGTTGCTCAAGAAGTTGGGCTTGGCTGCACGACCCTTCTCGATGGGCATAGTCCAAGATCCGTGCTGGATACCGGCCGTGATGTTACCAGGGAGCGCGTAGGCGTTGGTGGTCTGGAGGTCCATATCCTTAGCGCGGGCAGGGCTGTCGTACGCGTAGAAGGGGTGCATGGCCTGCACCTCACCGGCGTAGGCGTCCATACGGCGGGCAGTCTCACGGGACTTGATGTAACCCCAGACCATAGGAGCCATGTCGCGCTTGTCGTTCATGAAGCCAGCGTCGAAGTCGGGGGCCTCGTACGGGTTGGGCGACACAATGTGCGTGGAACCACGAGAGAAGGGGTACTCGAGGAAGTGGAACATGGTGAAGAACTTGCCCGGTGGCATGACCATGTGGTCACCGAACCAACCAGCAATGACGGAGTAGTGCATGACGGGCTTGTCGGGCTTGTCCTTGAAGTAAGAGTCCCAGCCAGAGCGGAACTCCTTGCATGGCCAGCTGTCCATCATGTTGAGTTCTTCCTCGGTCGGTCGGATCTTGACACCAGCCTCGATACCGTTGGTGGCGAGTGGGCCAGTGCCGTTGATGTTCCATTGCTGGAAGACCTGCTCCTGGACCTTGGGGTCGCCACGGACGAAATCGTCGAAAGACTCGACGTGAGGCTTAGCGCGGTAGGTGGCGAAGGTCAAGTAATGATCCTGGAAGTTGAGACCAACACCAGGAAGATCGACAAGAGGCTTGACACCAGCCTTGCGGAGCTTCTCTGGGTCACCGATACCAGAGCGCTGAAGGATGAGAGGAGAGCTCAGAGTACCACCGGAGACGATGATCTGCTTGCGAGCCCTGATGACCCTCGACATCTGCTGTTCGGGGTGAAGAGGCTTGGTCGGGACAACCTTGACACCGACGGCGCGGTCGCCCTCAAGAATGACCTTGTCAACCTTGTTGCTGGTGAGAAGGTGCAGGTTCTGGTGAACAGCGCGGGTGCTGTGGATGTAGCCGTGAGCAGAGTCAGATCGTCGTCCAGTGTCGCGGTTGATCCACTTCAGCCAGTGCTCGGCACCATGGCCGGTGGTCAAGTCCTGGAGATCGTCGGTGGTCGGGATGCCCTGAGATTCGGTGGCACGCAGGAAGTCCTCCTTGATCGGGTAGGTGTAGTTACCGAACGAAACCTTGATGGGTCCCTCGAATCCGTGAATGTCGCGGTTGTTGCAAGAACGTTGGTAGGTCTCGTGCTTCTTCATCAAGGGGATGAGCTCCTTGGTGGTCCAACCCTTGGCCTGGAAGTCGTCGTAGTCGGAAGCGGAGGCACGAGTGTACATCTGATAGATAGTCAGTAACTGCTAATAATAGCGTGAATGGGGGAATCTTACCATGAAGTTAATGGAAGATCCACCTCCGAGGATGTTGGCGACGGGCACAACAGCTCGGCGGCCATCGAGCCACTCCGAGGGACGAGAGTAGTAGAAGGTGGCAGTCTTGCTGTCCAACTTCATGTTCCTCGGGTAGATACCCGGACGGAAAACCCATGGGTTGTTGAGGTTGTTCTCTCCACCCTCAATCAAGAGGACCTGGAGATTGTGGTCGAGATTGGCCAGACGTCCAGCAACCACACAACCACAGGAACCACCTCCACACACGATGATATCGACCTCATCGGGGATCGTCATCTTGAAGGTTGTTGTAAAGATAAAGATATAATTGGAACGGTGTTATTGTTGTTGTATCGTTGACCGCAGGAGACAAGTCAACTGGGCGTGATGCTCTCTCTCAGTAGAAGGCACGACGTCTCTTTAAACTGCTCAGACCCCGCATCTCCAGGATCTTCGGCTTCAAGGAGGGTCCGTCATCTAGGCTGTGTCACTACGCGCTGCTCATCAGCCGTCAATTCCGATAGCAGCAAGATGCATGCACCGAAGAGGGGACATGTACCATTTGGCCAGCCTCCCCAGCCAAAGAGGCTTAGACGTTGGCTACGACCATCCATCATGGGACCGCAGGGGTCTCCGTCGAGGCCATTCGAAGGAGAGCGGCATGTTAAACTTGCGGATCCGCAAGGTAGGCTGCGTCTATGCCGGACTTCCACAGGGTAGGTGCGCAAGCAATGATTGGTCGGAATGCTCGCGCAAGGACACCAACCGTCCCGACGGTAATGGATAAAGACCGGACTGGGATAGACGCTGCAGATGTCGCATGTTTGCTAGTGGGTGCGGAGAAGCCTCATATCCAGTAAGAAGGCATGCTCGGTTGCGTATACTGGCCCACTCTTGGGGGTAAGCATTGCGGACCCGAAGCTGAGAGGCCACTGTAGCGTCCCCAGGCGTCGAGCTCCAGCGTATCACGTACGAACAGGAATGAAAGAGGCGTTTGAGTGAGCCACCATCGGGAAAGCGATAACCGAGATTTGAAAATCCATTCACGATAGATGTGTAGAGAAGGCATTGATGCAAGATCTTTGCGCAAGATTTCGCAATGGCACACCAGATTCAAGCACTCTCTGCTGTACTTGCCAGAGCTCCAAGTAGCTCAAGGATGATAGTCCTGGGAGCTCATGCAGCTGCGGCAAGTGGGATTAGCTCGCGCCTCGCTGCGGGGGTCTTGCGGCGCTGACGTCCTGGCCACAGGATACCCGTGCATCTCTCGTGGAAGAATGCGGATGTGGGGTGCAGTAGTCGCTGTGCCTCACACGCTCGGCGCACTCCCGAGGTCTCAACTTGGATGGAGGTATCGAAGGCATTGAAGGTTATCAGCGGCATTAAGGCATCGATGACATACCGAGAGTCAGTAAAGACAAGATATCCATCACTATTCCTCCAACTCCACGTCGCCCCCACCCAGTGCCACGATGTTGCAGTAGTCGATGTGCCTCACGTTGAGAGGAGGTCTGCCCTTGGCATCGAAGCTAGTGTCAGTAAGTGCGGGGTTAGCTCCGCTTCGAACCACGGAAGAACGGTAAGCCAGTCGTTGTAAACGGTCTCTTGCGGGAAAGGAATGGCTTCCTGCTGTAACATGTAACACACCCTGTCCGTCGAAAATAGTCTACATCGACTTGCTGCTAGACGCTGTGAGCCGCAAACCCAAAAAGCCTCTCTCAATATCACGATGTTACCTTATTCCCGAGGTACAGTTCGTGTCCACTAAACTGTAAAACCCTCAGCGATCGCAACTCTGTTCGGATAATTCGAAGCGAGATGAACGTGTTTCTATCGAATCATACTCAGCAGTAGCTCCATTGAGAACGCGTCGAAGTTTGGCGGTCTTGGATCTGTCCAGATCGGCAGACTACCGCGAAGTTCCTTTTTTGAGGCTGCACGAGGCTGCGCGACACGCGCCACTATGTGACTGACTCGTCATGAATGCATGGGTTGGGGCTTACGTGGAGATGTTTATGCAGACGCTGACCGGAAAGTTTCCGCTTCCTTGAAAGCGCTATTCTGCAAGTCAAGGAGGCTGGGGCACGCGTTGCATCCGCGTTGTACTTGGCATCGGTCGTTCAGGCCGCCAGTCAGCGCGAACTGCGCCCTGGTCCTGAACGGTCCTTCTTCGAGCCTACTCCATCTCCGGATGTGCCGCGATCCACCTAGCGACTCTGTGTTGAATATCGATGAAGCTTCGTGATATCAAATTATTGCTATACCTAGCAACACCACCGGCTATTGTGCTGGAGCTACTGTATATCGAGATGCGGATCCGATGGGAGTACACCGCTTGGAACTGAGACTGAATCTGAATCTGTAGAAGGTCCGAAAGTCTAGGGATACATGATGCATCTACTCCTCATGACACCCATCGTGATCTGGGTATCATTTTTCCAATATTCCAAGATGTCTTGTAACGCCGAAATGCAATTTTGTAAGAGCGGAGAATGGAAACCAAAGACGCCGTGTATGCGGAACAAACGCTAATAAGCAAAGCAATCGAGGTCCTTAGATGATCTCGTGTCTCTCCCAGCCAGTCGGCTTCATGTGGGCGAGGTCCTTGGTCGGATGAGGCTCCTCTGGGTTCCGGTATTCGCTCACGTATGGGTTAGGGTCTTCCTTCTGGTCGAGGTTACCGAAAGTGTGATTAACCTCTCGGTGCTTGGATTCGTCTGCGCGGACTAGGATTGGGTTAGTGGGCTGTGCTGCATGGAAGGATCAGGGGTATACGCACTGTAGAGGAGCAGATCTCGCATTGTGCGGTGACCTTCAGGCATCTGCCAGTAGTCTACCGCGATCTCGGGTGCCTCCATCTTC